AGGAGGCAGAGGCAAATGGATCTCTGTGAGTGCAAAGCCAGCCTGGTCCACACAATGACACCCGCAATTAAATAAATAAATAAATAAATAAATAAATACTGGAACAATAATCTCCCTGGCTCCTTCAGAGGAAAATCAAAAGACAACTATTTCTCTTGTCACTGTCCACACAATATAGGGAACGTTGTAATAGATGGCTTCTGCCTCTTTACTGGTGAGTTCGTAATAGGATGATGAAGACCAGTGTGCAGCTGGGAAAAGACCGAACAGGGAAGGAAGGAAGAACCAGGGTCCAACTGCACATGGAGGCCTAGCAGGCCTGGTGAGGGCAAGGGTGGGCCCTGGGTGGAAGGACCTAGAGGACCTAGAGCCTGGTTGGTATGTGCATGTGGTCACCTCTCTCTTTTGGACACCTGCCTTGTGGGGACCCCCTAGGACCCAGCTTGCTTGAAGGAAAGCATTGCCCATTGAGGCAAAGGGATGAGGGTCCTGTGTGCCCATCAGAGAGGAGACCCTCTGTATCATAGCACTGAGACTGAAAATTATTCATCTGGAACCGGGATGGTGGCCTAGAATTCAGAAGGCTGAAGTTGGAGGATTGGCATGAGTTTGAAGGTAGCCTGGACTACATAGTGAGTTCCAGCCTGAGACTCTGTTTTAAAAACACATTAAGAAAGGAGGAAGGGAAGGGAAGGAAGGAAGAAAAGAAAGCCAATTTAGTCTGGAAACCTACAACAAATAAGCAAGAACGAAAGTAGATTTGAGGAGGGTAATCCTTTGTGTCCCCAGCCTTGCGTATAAGCCCTCTCCTGAACTAAGGCTGTCCCCAAATACCAATGACTGCAAGTACAGTAGGCCAGGAGCAGGTGAAGCAGGTATGGTTTTCTTCAGTGCTGAAGCCTGGGGGTTTGGGGAGCATGGAGGATGCTCACTGCATACTGGTTAGTCACCTGTCACTTGGGCAAATCTGGTGGGACGGAGCCCTCACCTGACAGATCAGGTAGAGAAGTTTTCTTAGTCACACAGGCATCAAAGGACAGCGGAAACCAGCAAAGCCTGGGACTCGCTGCTACCTAAGGCTCAGGAAAAGCTGCTGAGGGAGAATGGGGTCTCACCTGGCCAGACTGCTGTCACCAAGCAGCCGAGGAATCCAGAAGCCCTGACTCTGGGTTTTATGGCCTGAAAGAACGTGGCTTGCTGGGATAAGCTAGGCTAATCCATTGCAGACAGCAGGAGCAGGCCCCAAAGCTCCAACCCTCATCCGGCACCCTCAGCACAGTTCATAGGAACCTGGGGACTCACGCAGAAGTGAGTAGAAAACTGGTTCTGCCAAGGCCAGCCAGAGGCCCGTTCCTCTTTGCTGGAGAGGAACGTGGTCTGTGATGCTTCCAGTCCGTGTAGGAACGGAGTTTGTAAAGAGTTGAAGGAGGGTTGGCAGGCCCTTGCTTTGCCGGCTTGCATTGGTGTAGGAGCTCTGGGAAGTGGCATGAGGATGAGTGCGCCCTCCCCAACCTAGTGTCTGGAGTGCTGCATGGCCGCCTCTTCCATCCAGGGTAGGCTAATAAGAAGTCAGTAGTCCTGTAATGATGCTGTCTGAACTGTGTGACATTGTAGATTTAGACTCCAAGAAATTGCTTCTGGTATGCTAGGACCTAATAAGCTTTGCACATTGTCCCCAAAGTAGTCACAATAAATAAAAACTATTCCAGAAAAAAAAAAAAAAAGAAGTCAGTAGTCTGGGGCCCCATCAGCTTAGAAAGTAGTTGATCCTTTCTGGGGGCTCCAGGGGTGATTTTGAGGGAGAAGAGTCCAGTCCCAGTTCTCTCGAGAATATGACGATGGATAAGATTCAGTTTGTACGCGCAAAGATTTATTGATCTCACACCCACTATAAAACCATGGGACTGGATGACGGGAGAGGCGGGGTCAGCTGAGACTTCTAATAGGAAAGCATGCTTTTTCAGCCTCAGTTTCCCACAGAGAAAACGAGGATGCTGTTGTCTTCCTGCTCTTGCACGCTTGGCATCTGGCACCATCCAGCCTCTCTTTCCTGTGGAGTGATGCTGTGCTGCCCAGGGTTCTTTGGTGGAAGACTTCAGGGCTGGTGGGAGGGGTCCCCTCTCCCTCTGTAGCCAGGTTGGGTGGGGAAGTCTGGACAGCTAGGGAGGAAAGACAAAAGAACACTTACAAAGCAGACTTGCAAATTAATGGAGCGCCAAGTAGGGCTGCGCAGCAAGTGCTGAAGGAATGCACTGCCACGGGGGCTGGGGAGGACCAGCTGTTGTGTGGCAGCGGGGTGGGACCCGCCTTGCTTGCCTCTGGCCTCAGTCTATCCTCTCTGGCAGGAGCACTGGGGTCTGGAGCCTGGGCCGCCAGCTAGGATTAGACAGAGGTGGGAAAAACTGCCTGTGCACTCCATTTTCCTTGCCCCTGAGATCAAAAGAAGTCTGAAGTGTGAAACTGAGGGACCTCCACCTATGCTGGAAGCGTCCTCTCTCCTCTCCTACACACACCCAAACTTCATACTCCTTACCTTCCCTGTAGCCCCTACAAGCCAAAAGTTGGGTTCAGATCCAGGGCTGGGAGGCCCACAAATGTAATTCATCATCACTGAGACAGTCATTGGTGTAGGGACGAAAAGGCTATAGTTTGCTCCCAAGCCCTGCAACCCTGGCTCAGGATACACTGAAAAGTGCACCTGGGTAGGGGGAAACTGTATGGGGGTCCTCGTCCTGCCCATGGTAGATGCCCGAGTCCGCTCCCCCAGCTCCTTTGCTGCCTGTGATCCGGGTCTTTTCTTTTTCCAGGCATTCGCACATCTCTCCATCTGCATATTTTAACTCCCCAGCTGCCTCTCCAATCCCTGCCTGCCATTTCCCTCTTCTCCCCTCCCCCCATCCTGCTGTGTGTTCTCTTGGGGGCTCTGGACCAGACTCCCCGGGCTTCCCAAAGGGTGCAACCCTGAGACTCCCTGATCCCACTTGCCCTGCAGGGACTTCAGCCAGCCTCCTTTGAGAGAAGCCAAGGTCACAAACTTCATGGATGGAAATTTGTCCAGCATTACTTCCAGGAGGTCCCAGAATACCTTCTCCTGCCCTAGGTGACCCTCAGGGCTGTGCCTCCAGGAACCCTCTCGCCACCGAGAATGGCTACAGAACCAGGAGACAGCCCTGAATCCCAGGCATGAGACCTTGATCAGAGCTACAAGCTTTACAGGACTGGTCTTGGCCTCATTCCAGCCCCTGTGTGGCTCCAGAGGAAGCCTGCGAGGCCTTGGGCTAACATAGACTGCAAGGATAATGGGGTGCTGCTCCTCTGGGTGTTGAGCTTGATTTCAGCACCTTTGTCTTGCTCTTCTTACTCCTTGGAGATTCCTTACCCCAGTCCCCAGCAACTGAACCTCGAACACAGAGAATGGGGTCTGGGCCAGCCAAGAAGGGTACGAGAACAATTCAGCTGTCGGATTCCCATCCCCGTGCACATAAGGGCAGCAACGATGCTGCACACTTACCTGCTGCAGAGCTGGCTGACCTTTGCGTTTGCCTAGAATCCATAAGCAGTTGGGTCTTGGTAACACCTGAGTGAGAACATGGAAAGGCAGCCGCCTCCCCGAAGTGTGATCTGTAGATTGCTGAATGCCAGTTCCTGGGTCTAATGCCAGCTGAGGGAGGGTCCCATGGAATCAAGAGCCCTTGGGAAGTCACACTTTTAACTAGACCATTCCTGGATGCACTAAAGATCTGAGAACTGTGGCTCCCAGCTGTACTGTCTGCAGGGGGGCAGGTGTTCTTGAGTTTTTCCTTAGCCAGAAAGGGTGACAGGGGGTTTGCCTGTCCCCAGCACTGGGACCCTGAGCCAGAGGGATGGATTAGTCAGTTTTCCCTTATTCGAATAAATATCTGAATATCTGAGGTAACGTAGGAAACTTTTTTTTTTTCGAGACAGGATTTCTCTGTGTAGCCCTGGCTGTTTTGAATCTCTCTCTGTAGACCAGACTGGCCTCAAACTCACAGACATCTGCCTGCCTCTGCCTCCCGAGTGCTGGGATTAAACGCGTTTATTTTGGCTCTCAGTTGTGGAAGATTCAGCCTGACACCCAACCTTAGCCCTGGGGCTGCAGGCCAAGCTGCTGTGAATGGGTAGCAGAGCAAGCAACCTGATCCCTTATATAAAGTGAAAAGAGCGGCAGGAGAGGGACTGGAAGCCCCTTATGCTCTTGAAGACCCCCTCCCCTCACCCTAGGGCTTTAGTTTCTGCCGGTTCCCAACACGGTCAGACTAGAGACCAAACCTTTAAAGTGAGGCAGTTTGGAGACACTTAAGATCTAGACCGTGTGCAGCAAGGGCCTCTTCCCTATGCCTGGGGCCAGACCAGCTCCAGTGGAGGACGGGTAAAAGCTCCTATTATAATCTGTCACTCAGGCTGGTCCTGTGAGGCTGCTGTGGCCACTGAGGTCAGGTGTAGTGCCCACCTAATATCTCTAGCAGATGATCCAGGTATTCATCCTGTGGAATTGCCTGATCTCCATGGGTGGAATGCCATTGCCAAATGGTGGTTCCTGGTAAGTGTGGTGAATAGGTGCTTGCCTGCTAGGGTGGCCCCCCACTCTCTCTCAAAAAATCACTCAAGCTTAGCACATGGAAGGGAAGTTTTTCAAACTCCTCTCCTGCTCAGGAACCAGCCCCCCAAAACCTGCCATAGGGAGTGGGTGACAACTGCACCATGTTTGGAGGTGTAGCTGTTCAAAGGATCCTGAAGTCAGGAGCTAGGAGCAGCTCAGGATCATAGCAACCCCAAGAGTCCAGGCAGTTGCCTGCAGTTACGTTCGCCATGCCTGCCCTCCCCATGGCTCTTGGAAGGAAGCGGTAGTCAATGGAATGTCTTCCGTTCTCATGCATAGGACACAGGACTGCCTCTCCTGATCACGTGCATGTGTGTACGCACGTGTGTGTATGTACACAGTATATTTTGTGTTTTCCCCCAGATGGCATACACTGGGGCTTTTCTGCTGTTGAGTACATCCAAAGGCCATCTCTCATACTCAGGTGTTTCTCCAGGAGCCAGGCATGGCAGTCTCTTCTGCTCCTCACTCCCACCTCCACGCCCAGTGCCAGACCATTGTGGATGGGTGTCCCCCTGTAAGAACTTGTTTATGATTTAAGTAGCTGAGGGTTCCTTGCTGGGTCCGGTCATGTCCTTCAAAGCTGGTTGTGGGAAAAGCAGTGGTGATTACTGAGGGCCCCAAAGATCATGTTCACTCCTCTGCTTAGCTAGAGATGAGCTGGGCTGAGGTAGCTTGGGGCCCAGGTTGGCAGCCCATGGTTATCCAGCCTGGCTGTGCTCCTCACATGGCCCTCCTTCTCTCCACAGGACAGCTCTCCTGCAGGCACGCCCGCGGCTACTCTTGCCTGTGCAGAGCCTCGTGTGCCTGGCAGCCTTCGGCCTGGCCCTGCCGCTGGCCATCAGCCTTTTCCCGCAGATGTCAGAGGTCAGTGGGGGTAAAGGGCAGGGCAAGGAGGGGCCATTTATTAACAAAGACATAACCTGTACTGACTGCCAGTACTGACCCAGGCTGGGTGGTGAGAAATGAAGCCAGGTGTGATGGCTCGTGTCTGTAATCCCAACATTTTAGGCAGTGGCTGCATGGGGTGGAGGAAATGAGGCAGCCGGACTGCCGTGTGTCTGAGGCCAGCTTGAGCTACGAAATCGGTTGGAGACCAGCCTAAGCTACAGAGTGAGAGTCTTTCTTAAATAATAGTAATAATAATAATAATACATAAAGAAAGGAAAAACAAGGACTGAGACTGACCCAGACTTAGACCTTTCAAAGGCTGCTCTCAGGCAGCAACACGAGGCTGATCTGAAATAGCAAACGAAGTAGGAGGCCGCTGAGCAAACAGAACCTGAAGGGAAGCGATTCTTCCCTGGGACCCGGAAACTGGGTTGGAGTTGGGAACACACAGGCTAGGGACCAGTTGGTATGAAGGTTCTGAGGTAAGGCAATATGTGACATTGGATACCTGAGTGAAGTCTGCCCTGTGAGCAATAGTGGGAAGAGATGAAGCAAGCCAGGTAAAGCCCGATGACCCTGGGGGATGCTGGGAACTTGAAGGCTGAAGCAGAGGGGAGATGGCTTCCAAAGGGCTGCACAAAGGATTCTTGATTGCGAACGGATGGTCTCCATGGCTGCTTCATGAAGCTGAGTTGGAACTCTGGAGAGGGAACCATCAGGAAGCTGTGGCGGGCGTCCAGTGAGAGATGATGGCGGCTTGGACCAGGCTGTTGGCAGTGGGCATTGAGAAGTAGGGCCATTGTGAGAGTGGGGCAGCCGCTTCCTCGGGATCTTCGAGAACCGCGTGTGGTGGGAGGGGAAGGGAGCCCGCAGGATGTGTGCCTGGCTTTCTGGTTTTGAAACCAGAAGGCAGATGTAGTCATGCTGTCGCAGGATGGAGATGGGAGAGGGGAGGGTCGATGGAGGACAGAGAGTTGAGTCAGTTCGACCTGTGGGTGGGAGGAACCTGTGTACTGTGTCAGCAGAAGTGCCCTGTGGAGTGCTGGCTCCAGGTCTACAGTCTAGGACAGTGTTTCAGGACACTGGAACAGGATGGAGGCCACCAGGCAAGGGCAGAGCCAGGCTTACTGAGATCGGGATGTCCATGAAGTTAGAGAGTAGTGCCCCTTGTCCTTACATTATAAAAGCAAACCTTGACCCCAGTGGTGAAGTGTGTGGCTAGATGCAGGGGTGGGGTGGGGGTGGGGGGTGGAGCAAGCTGCAACAGACCTCTAGAGCTTTTATTTGTTTTTTTGAAAATGGGAGCCAGACAGTGATGGTGCACACTTTTAATTCTAGTACCCAGGAGGCAGAGGCAGGCAGATCTCTGTGAGTTCAAGACCAGCATGGTCTACAGAGCGAGTGCCAGGAGAAGCTCCAAAGCTACACAGAGAAATCCTGTCTCAACCCCCCCCCCAAAAAAAAAAGAAAGAAGGAAAGAAAGAAAGAAAGAAAGAAAATGGGAGGGAGAAAGACTTGAATGCACTCAAAATGGAAACACCAGGAGAGAACAGAGGCCTTCAGGGAAAGAGCAAAGTCCATGAGAGAAAAGGACTAGGATGCAGACCAAGGGACCAGCCTTGGCAGAGGCAAGCCCTGTGCTCCGGGAAGCTGGTGGAGAGGGTGGGCAGATGGCAGGTGCAATTGTAGGTGGAGAGTACAGATGATGGCAAGTCAGAGGCAAGGGCACAGAGCGCAGAGAACCAGTTGTTTAGGCCACTGTGGTACCCATGTGAATGCTGAGCTTGTGCCTAGAGAGGGCCGCTTCTGCATGAGTGGTTTTAGGGCAGCCCTGCTTCAAGGAATGCCCAGGTGAGGGACAGAGGGTAAACCAGGGTTCCTGAGGGGGTTTAGTGAAGACTGGAAGCTCAGGGCCTTAGTGTAGAAGCTGGAGTCACTGTCCCCTACCAAGCCTAGAATTTGGGGCACACGTGTTTGAGAACCTGGTGTCCTTGTGCCCGCAGACTCTTCCAACCCGGAGAAAGCTGAGCTTGGGAACTCCCAGTGGAGCCCAAGGCTATAGGCACCTATCAGCCCTGGAGACTGGGCAGAGGTCATCCTGAGGTCTCTGAGGGCAGCACTGTGCTGGAAGTTCTGCCTGTGGAGAGGATCCACAACAGAGAATCCCCAGATCACCAAATCAGAAGCCGTCCCAGCTAGAAAGGCTCATTCCACATATCATCGTCCTGCTCTGCTGGACCAGCCCCCAGTCACAGCAGCTCAGCTGTGATATGAGGGGACGCTCAGCAGGCTACACCCCAGTACAAATAGGGGTCTAGTCAGCTGCTCCAAGAGGCTCTAGTCAAGGTCCAGACTCCTCTGTCCCCCTTGCCTGCCAAGTAGATGTGCATGTAGTGCTTCCGGGAGTCTGGCCAAATTCATCTTACCACAACCCAAACCTCTTAGAGGTTGGGAAGAATTGCATGAGGTCTTTGGCCTTCAGAAGGGAGGGCAGTAACATGCTCTTCAGAGCTCTCTGCTCAGCTGTGCCTTCCCCAGCAGGGTGCAGGCCAACCTGGATATTTTAGAGTATCTTGAGGCCTGTCTGCCACCCAAGATACCAAAGCCATCAGCCATTGGTTGGAAGGCCCTCACTCTTTCGTTCACCTTCCCAATTAATTCTAACAAGGTCCTGTTTCTGCAGTGCAGGGATCAAGTCTCACGTCCCAGAAGCCAGGGGAATTTACCATATGAGTCTGGACTTGCTTGAGCTGACCCAGCCTTGCCAAAAATCACCAGGGTTGTCAACAGAAGTCATAGCTGAAGTACTAATTAATTAACCAGGAGACTTGGAGACCAAGTTCAGGAGCTGGTGCCTTAGATGGCTAGCTTGCTGTGACTGGTGTAGTGGCCGACTCTCCAACCCCAGAACTCGAGGAAGAGCTTCATTTCCCCTTCCATGCCTGGGAGAGAGCTTTGTTCTTCTCAAATGAGTGTATATGTCAATAGTAATTATAGCTACCTTGACTCAAGGTTGCATGTTAGCTCTCTGCTTGCCTCGTGTTTTAAGTTCTTCGAGTATAGTTAGGTATCAAAAGATGTTACCTAGTCAGTCAGAGGTCACTGACAGCTCTGGGGAGAGATTTGGCTGGAGACAAGGAACCTTCGGTGAAGGGATTCTAGCCAGCCTGAGCATGGCAGATATCGCTCTGGCAGGCCTTGCCCTTCTCCCATTCCCTCTGCCTTGCTAAAAAATTTCATTCCTAAAGCTAGCCACCAAGGTCCATTCCCTTATTTGGCCACCTCCTCCTCCTGAGGCTGATTACCAAGGTCCAGCTATCAACCCCCCCCCTTTGACTGCCCTAATTAAGACGCCCAATCAAAATTAAACACCTCATCCTAACACAGGGTTTCCCCTTTTGCCTTTACCTTTGTTGTTTGCCTATGGGCCAGGCCTGTCTCCTCTCTGTCCAGAGGCAGTCCTTTGTCCCTCTGGGATAAATATCCCTTCCCCTCTCCTTTGGTTCCTTCCCCTTCTCCCTTATACTCTCTCTCCTGTCTTTGTCTCTTACCTCTGCCCTTTGCCCCTCTGGGACAAATAAATCTCCTTTGTAGTGAGAACTTGGTCTTGGGGTGTCTTGTGCCTAATATCTGTCCTTTTATTTGGTGCATTGAAAGGACTGAGGAGGAGATGTGGGAGAAAGGAAGGTCAAGATCAACCAGAGGTAGGGAGTGAACCCACAGAGTGTATTCAGGAGAGCCAAGGGTGAGCACAGAGGAGGAGGAGCTGGGAGGGAGCTTGGGGGTGGAAACAGCAAAGGAGGTTTTCCTGTTTACAAAGGAAACACTTTGTAAGTGTGTTGTTCAAGGTCTATGTTGGTCATAAGAGAGGCTGCTTTCCCAGACAGGATTCTGTTACCCTCTCCAGCCTGCCCACACTCTACTATAAGAGAAAGCAAGGCCGGGCGGTGGTGGTACACGCCCTTAATGCCAGCACTTGGGTGGCAGAGGCAGGTGGATCTCTGTGAGTTTGAGGCCAGCCTGGTCTACCAGACCTAGCAGGACAGGCTCCAAAGCTACAGAAAAACCTTGTCTCAAAAAAAAGCAAATCAAAACAAAAAAAAAAAAGAGAGAGAAAGAAAGAAAGAAAGAAAGAGGAGGGAGGGAGGGAGGGAGGGAGGGAGGGAGGGAAGAAGGAAGGGGAACCAAGTATGTGCCCTAGACTGCCCACTGTTTATCTATCAGTAGAACAAAACTCCAGCCTTTCCTAGGGAATCCACCCTCACATCTCCAGGGACCTCAGTGGGCTTCTTTGTTTTCTAACACAGAACGAGGCAGGGTGGTGGCATCTCGGAGCCAGCAGGAGGGATCTGGAATAAGCTCTGAACTTGGGTATGGGAACTAGGTCTAGCCTCCTGCTGGGCCTCAACTCACCACCTACTGGACAGGGAGAATAGGATCTTCTCTTTGACCGGGAGGGTGAGGGGTGGTGTCCCTAGAATAAGATGCCCCACGGTCTCCCATGAAGACTAGGCTACTCTCTTGTGACTGGGACAGTCTTCTAATCTCCAGAAGCAGGTATTCTGGTGTTGAAACAAAGTTAGTAAGTAAACGTTCTTGGGTGTGGTATCTCATACGTGTAATCCCTCCTATTGGGAGGCAGAAGGAGGGGATCCCCACAAATTCAGGGCCAGTTCATCTACATAGCAAGTTGTGGGCCAGTTAGGATCACACAGGGGAATTCTGGGTCCAAAAAAAAAAAAAAAAAAAAAGCTATCCTTGGCTGCCCAGTGAATTTGCACCCAGTTTGGGCTACATAAAACCTTGTCTCAAAAAAAAAAAACAAAAAAAAAACAAATCTGAAATAAAGTCATATGAGAATTATGATGGAGGTCAAGCCAGGGGCTGTGCTGTGGCTCACTCACTCCAGGACTCCTTGAGGTAGGGTAGGTTATGGAGGGCTCCCTAGTTGAAAAGGTCCTGATTTAGGTTGGCCTTTCAGGCCCTGCCCATTGTGAATATTAGGCCTCTGAACAAGGCAAACGTGGTCACCTCCATCTTTCTGCACATCTGCAGTCTACACTGGTGTCTTAGACTCTCTTAGGATCATCCAGAGTCCAGTCTCTGGGTTCATGGGCTTGGCTGTCACCGGAGTCTGGCCTGGGCAATGACAGCGGTGTTCTCTACCTGGGAATGAATCCAACCCAACGGTTTAATGAACCTCGGCTCTCCCAGGGAGCAAGAAGCAGTGCCCTGGCCAAGCCTCCCTCACCCTCGCCTCTGTCTTCCTTAATTCCTCAAGTCCTCTGGGACTCCCCGTATCCAGGTTCTCCCCTCCCCCTCTGCTCCCAGGGGAGCTCAGGGGCTCGGGGATGGGGCTGCGGTAAGAGCGGGAGCTATTGTTCCGCAATCTGGTTTTGTCCTCATCTTGTTGGCAGGCGGCAGGAGAGGAGCGAAAGGTTAATGAGGCGCTGTGAACGGGGGACTGCAGCGGGCGGGCGCCGGCTTGGTGACAGGGAGCTAATTAGGAGCAGTTTAACAGGAGGAAAAAGTGAAATCTCCTCTTCACCAACTGTCAATAATTAGCCGATTTGGTGAGGTTGAAATGTGTCCACAGAAGAAGGCGGGGCTTGTCTGGGGACCAGTGGGGGGTGGGGTGGGGGGCAACTGAGGCTCAGCCCTGTCTCTAGGTGTGTGTGGCTGGGGGAATTGTTCTGGGCTGTCCTGCACCTCTGGGCCTCCCTTCTGTCCTCTGGTTGGCTTTTCTCAGCTTGAACCCTGCATGGCC